TCACATACTAAACTATCACATACTAAACTATCACATACTAAACTATCACATACTAAACTATCACATACTAAACTATCACACATGGCAACACTAGCATGGGAAAGAAAGTAAGACTGACATTTTCTATATAAATACACGGTGTAAATGTAAACTTATCTACATATATTCATGTACATAGATAATCAAGTTATTAGTCAACTCATTAATTGTTAAAGAATAGCTAAGCTGCTAAAAAAACAACTCAAAAATAGGTAGTGTTAGATTTGCATGTAATTCTATATACTACATAATATTTTATGATTGATACAACAAAAATACTAGGACTAGAATTCTGGGTATATTTTTAATGGTGAAATTATGAAAGACAAACTAATTAGTATTTATTGTTCACAACAAAATAGGATTCTGTTCCTTAATATAATTTTATAATTTTTAATTGCAAAAAAAATCCAGGTTAACATGAGGGAAAAATATGAATATTTTTGAACTATCACTGTAATATGGTCAGGAACAAGAACAATTTTATTTTCAAATTTACAGTAAGAAGAAATGTGTCATATATATATACATACATATATTTGATATTTTCCACATTCATGCCTGACAAAGATAGAGCAAAATTTCCTGTAACTTTTTTTTTAAATAAAGGACAAGAAAAATTTAATAATGTTTTAATGTAGTTATGGAAGATCAACACTGTGTGACATCACAGTATTTCCCTCAATGACCTTAGGGATAAAAATAATTTCCCTTAAGTTATCAGTCTAGTGGCACAGACAGTACATTTTGAGAAAACACAGTTATGAAATTTATGGATCAATTATATACCGAAATCTTTCACATCTATTTAAATAAAGTTACATGAAAATTTTTTGTAGATTTAAATGTCACCACTATTAGTCGATTACTGTTAACCAGGAAATTTTAGATGAACCGAATTATATAAATACACATATACTCCCTCCACTTACCCCCTCCCCAGTTAGGGAATGAGCTCAGCCAGGGCTCTGAGTCTGGTAAACATACATCTACCACTGGGCTATCCTTCCTGTCCTCTATGAATATAGTTCTCAATACCATTCCACTGAGTCTAAATAAAGTATATTACAGGGTTGGCTACAAGGAATACCTATATATTAGCATTCTTTAAGAACTTAATTTTATGTATATAATTATTGATTAGTATTATTTTATATACACAGGATATCTAAAGTTGATTCTCAATTGCAATAATCCGTTTCCTAAAGGGGGCAAAAAAACTTGATAATTAAAAAACTTGGTGCAAGCCTATATACAATCCTAGTGTTCAAAAGAGTTCAAAGCTAACCTGGGCCATGTAGTAAGACTCTTGCCTCAAAAAAAAAAAAAATCAATAAACATCGTACTATGTCAGTTTTGCAAAGGAGCAGTTAGGTCCAATTGTTATGACATACTTATTTCAAAGTTTCTCATTTTGACTTAAAGTATGAAGGATTGTTTTCCATGTAAGAGGTGAAATATGAAAGGAAAAAAATAAATGGAAGAAAAATTATTATTCAGGTACTATGTTTTGTAACTATAGTTTTTATTGTGTTGAACTGTGTAGTATCATTCTGATAAAAATTGTCATAACTATTAAAGTTTACAATAAATGATTAATATTGCTACATGTCATTCAGAGTTAGAACACCTTTACCAGAGCACGTGTCTAATGGTCCAAAAGGCAGAGACAATTTAAAAGATTTTAACTTAAAAATTATAACAAAATTATAGGCCCATGTTTAAATTCATATTTTTAATTATTGTTTAGATAACAATCACATCAAGTGTCACGTTGAATAAATTCATAAGAACATTCACACATTTAAAATGAAGTCAACGGAGCCTTGGATGGCTACTTTAACAACATCCTGTGCTAAATGTTCCGACGCTCAAAATGTCACTTCCTACATGTCTACCTGCTAACTGTTCAGGAAATACAGCAAAAGTAAAAAGAACTTCAAGATGACAAACAAACCCTAAAGATTCGAGCTGGTGAACAGAAATAGGAGTGGAGCAGCACTTGGGAGCAGATGCAGAGAGCGAGCCCAGTGTGGAGCCCACTGTCTCCTGACCATGGAACTTGTTGGCTACAAGGGACAAAGTCTTATTCCTATCACTTATCATGGCCTCACATCTCATCAGATGGCTCCATGACTGACAATGCCCAGGTACACAAAAGGGGTTTTCATTCTGCCGTTCACTAATTCACCTCTGATACCTTTCCTATCTTCCACCTTTTTTTTATGTTAATGCTAAACTGATCATTTTTATATAGTGCCCATCTATGAACATGAATCTTACACTTTTTATACTATTCTCAAAAAATTTCATCCCAGATAACCTATTTCTCTTTGCTAGGTCTTTTATTTTAGTTGAAAGGTTTCTAAATTCTTTGGCAAAATTACTTTTCGGATGGCAAATTAATTATTACCGGAAGGAAAACTTAAATTTCACTAATGAAACTTCAACTGAGAATTACAATTCTATTTAAAAACAGATTAGGTTACAAAAACTGTTGTGTATTTAAATTTATCTGCTATAAAGAGACAGAGTTGATGTAACGAGAATCGGAAGCAGTATATTGTGGCCAAGTTCCTATTATGCTCGTCCTGCTTCCCTTGACACCACCACAAGACCCATCCCTGGACTTCAGGTGCCCAGTTCAGTGCAAGGCACACAGAGAAAAGCCAACCATGAGTTCAGATATCTGGTAACAATAGAATGTGTTGCAAAAATACAAAGACACACGAAGTCAATTCAATAGTGCTACTTTTCATGCTGAGAAACAAACAAACAGAAGTCAATATAACAGGGCATAACTAGTTCAGTCAAGGGGTTGACCATTAGTTACTTTATCCCCAAACCATGTTAGTGTTTCATGCAGACCTGGGTTAGTTAGTATAATTCTGGGAAAGAATTTAGTGACAACTTCTGAAATGTTTAGTATGAACCAGGGTAGTGTTAAGTCTGCTTATTGTCTGAGTTACAAGCACAGAGCTTGCTAATTCTGGAAAAAGGGAATGGGAGAAGAAAGAAGATGCTTTGGTTGACACTTTGTCTTACCTTCAGATAAACAGAACTGATACTTAATGATCTAAAGAGGGAAAATAAAATAAATGAAACAATCGTAAGGAGTGCAAGATATTACAGAATAGGAAGGCCATGAGTCATTTTTTCTGATTTGTTTAAAATTAGTTAATTGTATTAATGCATTACCCTCTTAAAATCTTCAAATATCAAAACATAATTTGCTGTATAATTGCTTCTAAATCTAGACTGGTTTAGCTTTACTTATAAAGTTAGAGATGATGATATCGTATCTTTGGCTTTAAAATCTGATCCTCTGAAGTGGGGAGTTCCCTCTGCTTCAGAACTCCAGGAAACACAAGAGTCAGTGACTGTGATGTGGACCATGTATTGTTATGAAGATTATGGATTTTTTTAAGGAGCCACATTCAGATAAAAGAAAACAAATTTACAGGCCAAACTCAAATAGTCATAAATAATATATTTCAATGATCAGAATTTTATTCAACCAAGATTTAGAAGAAAAGGGTATTGCATTTTGAGTTTGTAACAAGTAACCAAGACCTTTGTTTCTTCTTACCTGCATCAGAAGGTGAGTGATGGTAGGGGGCTGGAGAGAAAACCTGTGCTGCAAAGTCTTCAAATGAACTTGGCTCTAAATGGTGCTGGACAATTGTTTGCAGGTACCGCGCTCTCTCCTCATAGCTGGTTCCCTTCTGTTAAGGATGAACTGAGATGCAGTGTACACTGGGAGCAAGCACATTTTATGCGAGGACCATAAGAGCGCATCCTTACTTAGTGAACTGTTTCCTGTTCTTACACATGACTAAAAGTGCCCCTTCTCAAAGTATAAAAATGTACTTTTTAGTGGCAGTTTATTTCTATTGACTCCGTGACAATTGATAGTTTAACAGGAATTTACTAGAGAATAATTACACTGGTTTATTATTAGAACAGTTTGAGGAAAGATGTAACTGTTAGCTGGTCAGCCTGAGCCCTTCCTACCCTGTTAAGCAACATTCATCTGTAGATTTACTCCCAAAAGTCATTCAATAAAAGTATTATACTACATTTAAAATACTATGTCCCAAATTCTCCATTTTTTACTTGTAAAGTCTTATTGTGAAATTCCTACATATCTTCTTCAATTTTTAAAATCTCTGTATTTTTTCGACAATTGTTCTCCTTTTGAATGGAAGACTAGTGTTGTTATAATCCTTGAATAACTCCATGCAGTTACGATAAATGCATAGCTGAATCTGCGTGTCAGTAAAAAATACCCCATCAATTACAACCCGGAAACAAGCGGGAGTATTTGTGAGGAGTCCACGGGGCTCCTCACTACTGTCCAACAAAGCATCTCCAGGGCACTGACACTGACAGAGAGAGACTGTACTCCGCTCGCACCACACATTATTCCCTGATATTATTGACAAGCAACCCTGAAGTGCTGTTGCTTTTGAACAACCCACTCCAGGCTTCCTGTTTCAGCAGGTCTGATTGTGCTGTTAGCATAGAAAGGGCAAGAAAGGGAGAGAATATTTCTGTTGTTCATGAAAGCAACTATGGAAATGGCTGTCAAAGTGTAGAGCAGCAGGCAGCAACAGACAATTATCAGGAAAAAACACATGTCGACTTCGAGTCGTACAGTTCCTGAACTGAGAAACCACCTAACGTTTCTTCTTCAGGTTTTCAGTTCTCCTGCTGCATTTGGTGACATTTACATAGGGACAGTGAATAAACAAAGACAAAGGAAATGCACACAGACATTTCGGCAGTAAAAATTCACACATTAGTTTTTTTTTTCCATTGCTTTTTTTTCTCCCCCTAAAAGCCATTTCAGTATTTCTGTCTTAAAATTTTTATTCTCTTTTAAAAATCATAATTCAGTATTTCAGTTCTATAATTCTAGGAATTACAATTCAAACTAGGAAAAATCATTTGGGAGCTAATTTAAACTGATAATTCAATGGGTGACCTTACGGACAGCTATGTTTACAAAAGTTTAATAAGAGGCGATGAAAAGCTTGCTAGTTAGAGGCCAGACTGAACACCATTGGGACTTGACTTTGATGAATCATTTGCTTTTTTAATGGCTTTGTATTCTAGCTTCTTGGATCACAATTTATTTTTTGTGTCAAATATTGAAATAACCTGGATGCTAGCTCTTTATAATCTATTATTTTCAATTCTGTATATTGCAGCTGAACTCTAAAAGAATTTTACTTCTGAGATAGCAGCAACAGGGTAAGACGTATTAAAATGACGGTGTAAGGAAGGGTTTTATGGAAGGATAGCAGACATTTATGAGGCAAACTTAAGATAGAAACGTAGCAGAGCACGTCTCTAAAGAAGATGTATGGTTCTAAATGGAGGAGATGAAGCTGAGCTCAATCTAAATAATACCACATATCTCACAACTTGTTGGAAAGTACTTTTTTCATTGGGGGAGATTCACAGCTGCCGAATTTTCTGCAGTTAATAGAGTCCTTTGATTCACAGCAGTGCCCCTTGTACAAAAAATACTGGCCTTTGTGTATTACCAGAAACTAATTTTCTATTTGGCTGAAAAGGGAAAAATGGGGTTATTGCTTCTCCCTCCTACAGAGCTTTTCATTATGCCTGATGCACTCAACTTCTAAGCTCTTCTGAGAAAAAAAATAACTGAAGAGGCAAGAGGTAGAAAAGTGAGCTTGTTAGCACATTAGAAGTGAAGTATCTTGGTGGGCCCTAGAAACTCCCAGTGGTGTGTTAACTTATCACTCTATGCATGCTGGCACTGATAGTCTCCCAATTGATCACTCGCTTTTCGCACCAAAGGTGCTGCCAGGAAGCAAAGGCTGAAGGCCCACAGGAGAACAGTCTGCTATCAAAACAAGCTGCTTTTAAAAGTCTGCTTGAATGGGTAAAAACGCTTCATGAAAAGCAGGGTGGAGACAGCTACCTGCTTTGAAAATGCTCTACTTTAGTGGGTCTATAAATGAAATATTTTACTTTATCTTATTTAGAGTTTACATAAAAAACTAGGCAGAAAAAGCAAATGTTAATATTCTTAAAACAAGGAGGATCGTTCCATTGTGCCAAATTTATCAAAGCAAAAAAAAAAAAAAGATTAGGTAAATAAAGCACAATGAAGGGTAACCTCCTGCACTATATAAAGTAACTCTAAGCCAGAACACATAGCCCTATAAAATGGGAGGAGCTCCAGACATCTAACATTTTATATAAAATACACAATGCATTTAATAAAAACAGACTTCTTAATTTTGAGAAGTTTAAGTCTCTGTGATGAAAGAGTAGCTTTTACACAGGAAACTCACCACAAATTAGCACAGGCTAACACCCAAACTTTCCTTTTTGTGGGTTAAGTTCAGAAAATACTGCTAGCTTGGTAAATACTTACAGCCTAAAGGAACCCACTTTCTAAAAGTGAGTGTTCTTTATAGCCCCCCTTTAAGAGTGCTGCAGTTAAATTAAGTAACACAAAAATGAGCCAACTTAATCTACTGTACAAACACCATCACAAGTTGTGGCTCAGAAAACATATAATTAGGAGATGGATAAACCTGCACCACGGTCCTGGATTCATACTTTGTGACTGCAATGATTACAAAGCTCTAAAGAGTAGCTTTAGCATCTGAAGCTGTAATCAGCACCTGAAGCAGCTAATGCCTGTACCTCTTCATAAGAGATCCTAAAGACTCTTAAAGAGGCAGCTCTCTAGGGAAGAGTTAGTACCTATAAGTTGGCTACACAGACTATGGGGCTAGCAAAAAGAGAACAATTCAAGATACAGTCCTAATGTAATTGAGTGTCGTAAGTAGCATTAAAATTAAAACACCGAAATGAGTAAGATGATAAAAAGGTGAAGGGGAACTAACAAAAATAATCAGAAGCAAAACTGAATTTAAAGTGAAGACCTCAGCTGAATTCATAGAAGTGTTTGTTATAAATTTTAAGATATCTCAAGGTAAAATTATCTTAAAAATTTGATAAAGAAGACTTAGTTGGTAGGAATCTTTAATATAGAAGTAGTCTATCACACACACACACAAACATAAACCTCATCACTGCACCCCCACCACACCCTTACACATATATGCACCCTTACATAGGCGCTCACACCTACACAATAGCCCCTACAATACACCCCACCACTACAACACTCCTCTATACCCCCATCCTTAAACACTCCCCACCCCCCCACACCCTTACACCCTCACCCTACATACACAATCACATCCACACCCACACTTACACAACCTCACACCCATCACACCCTTACAGATACACTTCCCAACACCTACACACACACACACACACACACACTTCACACCCACCCTTACCCACACCCCATGGCCACACACTGCTCCCCTCCCCATGCATACAGGTGCTACAATCCTAGCACTATAATCACCCACGAATCCTATCCTTATACTTTCTGCAAAGCAGAAAAGGAAAGGGACATTACAGTTCTGAACATGACAAAGGATACTACACGTGTTCTGAACATGACGAAGGATGCTACACGTGTTCTGAACATGACCAAGGATACTACACGTGTTCTGAACATGACAAAGGATACTACACGTGTTCTGAACATGACCAAGGATACTACACGTGTTCTGAACATGACAAAGGATAATACACGTGTTCTGAACATGACGAAGGATACTACACACATTCTGTCACAAAATAGTTTAAAACTAAACTGAACTTCATTAAGTTTACATTAGTAGACATTTTGAGTAATTGCTTTTAATTTTAAATTTCAAGACAGGCTGTTAAGAAACTAGAGACCAGCTTTATCCTGACCCTGGAAGAAGTATGAATTCTCTTTTCTACAGTTTACAGGGACATCACCATCTGTCCTATTTACTTTATCAGGGCTTTAAAGAACATAAATACACTGTAATCCAAAAGTCCTTCTGTATCTGAGTTGAGAATTATTTATTTTCATTGCTACTGTAGTACAAATGCTGTTATATATTTCTTGAACTTAAAATTTATTTAAAAGTATGTCCAATACTTAATGAACTATGGACTGTGGCTGGATAAATAGTTTCAATGAGCTTTTTAGGAATTATAAAACTCAAAGTAACTCTTCATCTACTCTACTGGACAAATTCTCCTTTGTTAGCAATGTAACCAATATAACATTACATTATTTTTGCACTAGTTTAATGTTTGGCGCACAACTTTGTAAATGGCAGGTGCTGTCTACAGCCCCTCCTTCTGATCCTGTCCAAGCTAACCTTGAACACAGGACCTTCTGGAACTACAGGTGCACTCCACCATGCCCCGCTCTAGGGAAGTTTTCAATGCAAGGAAGGAAGTAAGGAAGGGCATCTCTGTTGCCAGATATGCTTGCATACACACCTGTAATCTTAGCACTTCGAAAGTTGAGACGTGGGCTACAAAGTGATCATCCATCCATCCATCCATCCATCCATCCATCCATCCATCCATCCAAAACATAGCCATATTCATGTGTCAGGACTGTATAATATCAGTAATGTTTCTTATTTGTGGTATGTACAGAGGGTTTTTCATTTATTCTGATATAAGTAAATTAAAATGAAGAAAATATTAAGCACTAAATATTTCCATTTTACTAAACTGCAAGGAGACTAGACTAAAAGGGAGGTTTGTTCTTAAAGAAGTTACAACCTGGGGCTGGAGAAATGGCTCAGCAGTTAAGAGCA